ACGGTCGGCCACTGCTCACAATAACAGTTTCTGTTCATTTTGAACAGGACGCGCTGTCCGCGCCGCCGCGGACGTTGCTCTTTGACGACCAAAATGCCGCTTGCCCAGCAGCGGCCGCTGTGGGTGTTGGACAACATTTGTGGTTGGGCAGTGTGCCCATTTTTCCGTACCCATCTCGGGCGTGTAATTGGCGGTCGTCGGCGGGCAGGGCAGCAGCGCGGAGGCTGGCGTCGTCCTCGTCCTCGTCCTCGTCCTCGCCGGCCTCCTCTGGGCGCCTCGCGCGGAGAGGGGCGGCGCATGCTCTGGAGCAGGCACACACCGGCAGCAGTCAGGCTGGCTCAGAGAGGCCCCGCAGGGGGTCGAAACGTCAGCCCCATATAGGCTGCAAATGTGTCGATGTGCTGCGATCGTCGGGCTTGATTGCCTAAGCCTCATCGGGTCGCCGACCAGCGCGCCCCCGCGCTGGGTTCGCGCGCTGGGTTCCAGTGGCTGCCGCGCCTGGAGGCGCTGTCTTGTCCGGGCGGCGGCCAGGCGGCACGGAGAGCTCCTCTGGCAGAGCGTCGGGTTGGAGGCCCCAGCGCCAAACCGAGAGAAAATCCGCGCGAACCTCCGAAAGCTGATACTTACTCGTTGCGCGAACCAGGCCTCTGGGTCTGTTTTGGAGGTCGCCACCGCGATCGCGGTGCCCACAAATCGCGGCAAGGTTTCTGCCAAGGAGTGGCATGACCCGTTCCAGCCCTCCCCCCGCTCTGCGATGTGGACGGGGCTCTGAAGTAACAAAAAGCAGACAGAGAGTTGTCAGCTCATGTCCAACATGGGCAGTCATGCTTTGGGATTACGGGTCGTTGTCACGCAGCCAAAATCGCCCCGGAGCGCTCAGGAACGGCCGCCTTCCTCTTTCCTCCTTCCTCTTCCGTCCTCCATTCTCCTCCCTATCCTCCCCTCCCCCCTCCTCCACTCCAATACCCTGCCATTATGAATAAGTCCCTGTCATTCTTCCAGACGTGTCGGCAGGGCGGCCTTGCCGCTTCGCGTGAGATGTTTCATGATTGATGTGCCTGATGCTTGAAACCTGCAGCAGGTTCACCGATGGAGGGCGGGCCGTTTTCAAAGTGTGGCTCTCGCCGTGGCGCCGCGCGCATCCGCTGCAAAATTTTACAGCAGCTTCAGGGGTGCAGGACAGGACCTCTTCAAAATGCAGCTCTCGCCGTGGCGCCGCGCGCGTTTGTTGTAAAAGCTTGACGCAGCTTCAAGGATAGAGGACAGCCTTTTCATAGTGCGGTGTTGTCTTGAGCGCCGCGCGCATTCGTTGTACAAGGTTGGAACAGATGTAAGGATCTGCAGGGTTGAAATCCCAGGATTGGTGATCTGGTGCGATCTAAGTTTGCCAGGACGCAACAAACACCTTGATTCGCAGTGTGGCGATGTTTCGGATAGTAAGGATGCAACAGTCATGTTGATTCGTGGCGTCGAAGTCCCACGAATAGTCTTCTGGCATGTGAGGGTTCTCAGACGGATGCCTTTCAATAGGGCGCTCCCCGCTATGACAGTAGCTGCTCTTGGGGAGTTATGCAAAGGGAACTTGGGGGGAGGGTTGACTGTAAGGCGCCAAGTGTAGCGGCAGCGATGCCCAGAAGGCCCGGGTTACCTTGGCAATCTTTCTGGTTTGAGAGTGGGTTCATCCGCATGGAGGGGCAGGAGGAGCGGAGCAGGCCCGCCCGAACCCGCAGTCACAGGCTGCAGCGCTAGCTAGACCCAGGCCGTCGAGGCCACACTGAGTGATGCAGAGGCGCCATTTGCGGCGGCAGTGCTGCCCAGCAGGCCCGGATACCGCGGCCCTATGGTTGGAGGTGGGGTTCTACAGGAGCTGGAAGAGCACGAGGATGAGGGGTCGTTTCGGCATATGTTTGTTCACCCGGCCAGCGCATCAGCCAGCATGCCGCTCGTGGGACGGGCGACGAAGGGAGGGGAAATGGGGAGGGCATTGAACGGGTGGTGGGCTGAGCCTGCCAGAAGGGCACCACGGCCACGAGCGATAACAAGCACGGCCGCCGATATTGCCGAAATCCCCACTCAGAGAACTCCATCACCTTGGCGGGTCCCCAGGTGGGTGTCGGCTGTGTTGGCGACCCTCTCCCTCCCCCCGCCATCCTCCGTCGCGCCTGCTGTTCCCCCTGGCTCCTCCTCTCGTTTCCCCTCCCCTCTCTCCTCCCCTTTCTCTCTCTCGTCCTCCTGTTGCTCCTCGCGTCGCCCCGCCGTCGGTTTCCCTGCGAGGCGCCTTCTCCCCCGCCCCGGACCAGGGCGACCTGCAACGCAACTACTGTTGATGAGACAGCTGCACGCGCGCTGTTCTGGCGGCGTGCAGAGGGGGTTTGGGGGAGGGGGAAGGCTTCTTAGAAGGAGGCTGGTTCTCAGAAGGCGTCGGTTGTACATCTGCAGAGAAGGCCCGCGCCCAGGGGTGCTTCTAAGAAGCCTTCCCCCCTCCCCCTACCCCCCCCTGCGCGTGGCGCGACGAGGGTTTCGACCACTTCGTAAAGACACAGTCCGCAGCTTCGAGCCTCCAGGACCAGTGTCAGCTCCAATTTCCCTCATTCAAACGCACAGAATTGAGTGTCATTGCGGGAAGCGCCCCATTGAAAGATTCCCAACCGTCCGAGAACCCCCTTTTATAGTGCCAAGAAGACCACTCCTGGGATCCACCGTTCCTGGGACTTCAACCTTGCGGATCCTTGAAGCAGTTGCAAGTTTTTGCAACGGATGTGCGCGGCGCCGAAGCAGTAGCGACCTTTTGAAAACGAGCCGCTTTCCGTCTTTGAAATTGCTGCACACTTGAAAAAACGAATGCGCACCGCGCTACGGGTAGAGCCACAGATTCGAGACGGACCCGCCCTTCATCATTGAAGCTGCTGCAATGTCTTACAACAGCAGTTCGCGGCGCCAAGGCGAATTCACGCAGCGAGAAGTGTGATAACCACATGTTGCAAACGACCCGCCCTCCCATCTTTGAGAGTGCTGCAATGGTTGACAACTCACGCGCGCCGCGCTGGCACGAGAGTCACATGATGAACAGGACCCGCCCTCCAGTTTGGAGCCCATTCCATAAACTTGCCCATGGGAGTTGGCCTGAAAAGGGACGAAGAAATACATGTAGTGAAACAAAGCGGGCAACCTGGATCAACAGGGAGATCTCTGCGAGCAATTGGGTGGCCTTGAGAGGCCTATTCGGACCATCCCTGGGGCCCGAGTGGGGGCGAGGGAAGGGAGAGGACGAGGAGAAGGGAGAGGAAGACGATGACGACGACGACCACGACGACGAGGGAAAAAAAGGAAACGGAAAACGAAGACGATGAGGGCAAGGCCGAGCACGAGGAGGAGGACAACGAGAACGCGGACAGAGCCCTCAAAATCGCCTCTTGGAGCCCATTTGGTATTTTGGGGGGATCTTAGGGACCTCTTGGGTCTTTCTTGGGGGGTCTCGTGGCCTTTGTGGAGATCCCTTGGCAGCCATGAAAGGCCTCTTGGGGCTATTGGGGAGGCGATCGATCAAAGAGGGGGGGGGTCCCGATTTGCAATCGCCGTTTGGGACCCTCTTGGGGCGCTCTTGGGGCCGCTCTTGGGGCCGTCTGGGTGACCTCCTGGGCTTCTCTTAGGCAATATTGGTGCAATCCTGAAGCCTCAGAAGCGCATCGGAAGCGAAAAAGCGAGAAGTCAACAATCATTGATCCTCTGTGGGTGTGACAAAGGATTGCCGCCTCTGGGGGGTCCTGAGGGGGCTCCGAAAGCATTTGGTTATAATCGTCTTGTGGCCTTCGTCGGGCCTCTTGGAGGTATGTCGGAAGCTATCTTGGAGCCAGCCTGGAGCCATCTTGGAAGGCCATATTGGAACACCTGACGCCCTCTTGGAGCCAGTTCGGGTGCCCTGACACCTCACTTATCCACCTTGGCCCAAAGGGTTGGTGGGACTAAAGTTTGAAGGTCATAGGTGGTGAGGAAGTCTCAGGCGAAACGCCCGGCCCGTCCTACCGACACATCAAGGAAAAGGGATGGAGGAGGAGGAGGAGGAGGAGAGATGATAGGGAGGAGGTAGTAAGAGGGGGAGGAGGCAAGCTAGGCGCGCTCGCGTCATAACTGACATCCAATCACTCCCCCCGATATCTTCCCATAGCGCGCTGATATGTTCTCTCTCCGCGGATGCATGTCATAGCCGACTTGAAACTACAGTCGGAAAAAGAAACTTGTGGGACCTGTGCGACTTGGGGAACCTCTGTGGCCTGTCGGGATTGTGATACCTGCGACAGCGACTCCTGTGGGACCATTGGAAGCTGTGTGACATGTGAGAATCGTTGGACCTGTGAGACCTGCGAGACCTGTGGGACCCGTTGCACCAGCGGGACCTGTGGGACTTGAGAGGTCTCAGTGGGACTTGTGGGACATGCGACACCTCTGGGACCTGTGGGACCTGCGGGACCTGTCTGACTTGTGGGACTTGTGGGGCATGCGAGACCTGCGACACCTGCGGAACTTGTGGGCCTCGTGGAGCCCGTCAGACCGGTGGTACTTGAGGGACCTGTGGAACGACCTGCGACGCTTCTGGGTCCTGTGAGCCCTTTGGGCTCTGCGAGACTAGTGGGATCCAGAGAAATTGCCCACGCTTGGGAGGGAGCGCCATTCTGAACGACGGGAGCACAGCGACGATCTGAAAATAAGGCCCGCACTGCAGCGACAACAACACTGCGAAAGGAGCACAACCGATCGAATTGAGAGCACATCAGGAAAGCTCGTCCGCGAAAAACATGTGCAAAGACAGTACGAGAAGGTGAGAGGGGAGGGCGGCTGCCCTCAGGAGGTGCTCTGCTCATGGTCGGAGGAGAGAGGGGAGCAGACTGCGGAAAGAGGAGGAGGAGGAAGAGGAGGAGGAAGGAATCCTTCTCCCGTCGTCCCCCTCCTCACCTCGTCCCCCGATGTTCCGTGGCGGCGTGCGGTGGCAACCCCCCATGAAGGTGTGCGGCGGCGCCGGCTGGGTCCTCAGCGCGGAGCTGGCAGAGCGGCTGTGCCTCGGGCCGCTCGGCGACGCGTGGACCGGCCCTTCCTCTGCCTGTGGGCGCCTCAGGGGCAACGCTGGGAGCATCGTCGAATGTCAGAGTCTCCTCGTCTCCTCGTCGTCGACTCGACTCGCCGGGTTTTCGAACGTGTTCGTCGGTTCTCCGGCCTCGGGATGCCTTCCAACGCTGCCCCGCTGGAGACCTGAGTTTAGGTCCGAGAAGCCACACACGGGGCAACTACAGGGGGGGATAGGCTCAGGGGGGCATGCATCGGCCTCCGCCCATTGATCGCAGACAGGGGCCCGATAGCCTACCCAGCCCACGACCACGCTGTGTTGCGATCGAGAGCATATCGGCGATGTCTCGCCGACTCCAGGTCGAGTTTCCCTCCCCTGGGCTGGTCCCACTGACGTTCCCCCTCAACACCTCTGATGCAGTCGCGGAGGCGGGGGGTGAGGATCGATCACCCTCCCTCCCTCCTCCTCCTCCTCCTTCTCATGTTCCTCCTCCTCCTACCTCATCAGCGTCGTCGTTACCCACATCAGAAACATCACCATCATCATCATCATCATCATCATCATCATCATCATCACCATCACCATCACCATCACCATCATCATAAGCACTACCATCATCATCAGCATCAGCATCATCAACAGCAGCAGCATCGTGATCGTAATCGGCATCATCATAATCAGTATCATCATCGTCATCGTCATCAGCATCATCATCATCGTCATCGGCGTCGTCGCCGCTGTCGTCATCGTCATCATCATGATCGCCATGATCATCATCAGCAGCAGCAGCATTACCATCACCACCAGCACCATCATCGTCATCATCATCAGAAGCAGCATCAGCACGATCAGCATCGTCATCATCAGCAGCAGCATCAGCATCAGCATCAGCATCATTTCCCCGCCCCGCCCCTCTCATTACTTTGGTAGTGCTGCCTCCGTGCTGCATCGGAGATGTGTGCGCATCTTGACCTCCGGCGCCGCGAGCGAAGCAGTGTGACGGCCGACGTTGGCCGTAAGTTCAGCGTTCAGGGGGCGCTGTCGGGCCCCACGGCCTGGTAGAATCCCCGCGCGGTGGAACAATGCGCAGGGGACCAGGTCGAGAGCGCAAGGCCTATTGTGTGAGACAACTCGTGGCGGCGGCCAGGGTACTCCTCAGCTCGGCCCCCAGATGCCAGGGGCGGGAGAGCGCAGCCGAGCGCAGGAGGTACGGCCTTGAGGGGTCCCCACCTTGTTCGCCCTGAGCACTTGACTCGGGCCAGTAGCCCCCTGATTGCTGATGGCTCAAGGTTTCGAGGTCGGATCGGTTGCCGGGCCGTCTCGCGCGAGAGGGTCGTGGAAGTCCAGCGGAAGACATTTGATGTGTCTTAGGGGCGAGTCGAGGGACTGTATCTGCTCCTCCTCCTGCTTGTGACGTGTTACTTGCGAGTTCATTGTGCTCTCTTGGCCGTTTCGCGCGAGAGGTCCTCACGGCCCGGCTTGGACAGGGCGATCATTTTCCGGTGCCTCAATTGTGTTCTCGTCTTCCCAGATGTGCCCAAACCAGTTGCAATCAAAGATTGTGGATGCCTTGCTTGCGATACCTGGCGAATTCCAGGATTCGACATTTCGAGCTGTTACTGTCTGTGCTTTCCCGTGCGCGTAAGAGAGGAGGAACGAGATTGAAAAAGAGAGAGCGAGAGGGGTCTTCGCAGCTTCCCTCATCTTGTTTTTGAGATGGTAATATTCCCATTAGCTAATACTAATTACGCTGTATCGCGTGTGAGTGTGCTTTAAGAGGTAGGGTTGGGGGAGGATGAAGGAGAACGAAGCGGAGAGAAGGAGGAGGTCGTTTGTTGTTGCTGGAGGCACGTTCTCGTCTTTTTTGGGCGCAACGCGAGGATACACGAGGAGATGAACATGATCGTCCACCCTAGAAGAGCGGCTTGGTACGATCAGGACGACCGCGTTTGGGACATTGGGATTTGGAGGTGCAGGATGATAAGGATGATGATGGGGGCGAGGAGAAGGTCCATAGCTCAGCATTTTCATTTACTTCAGCTTTTCTCGTTTCGAGAATCACGGGGCGGATTGGTCTCAGAGGGCCTCTACATCGGAGCACGGCGCTGTGCCTCTGATTACGAGGAGGTTCTGGTATTGTTTTCTAGCCATCCTGTTTCTCCTGTTCCGCTCGTCCTTATCGACCAACGCATTCCGGATTGAAGATCGAACGTCTGTCTGAAGCATGTTTGCAGTTTGCAGAGAGGGTCGCCCCAGTCCCAGGCTGTTGTGCCAGCCAATCAAGTCGGGCTACAGTTCTGCTAATCATTCCTGGTTCGGCGTGATTGTGCATTGGTGCACCACGTCGTATGCAGAAAATTCCTCCTGGTCTTGTTGCTGCTCCTGGTCACGACCCTCCTCTACTATTCCTCCTGCGGCAGAAAACGTCCTAGTTCTCCACCTCCGCCGTTTCCACCCAGCTCCGCATCTCGTTGTCCTCTGTTTGGTGGCTCCGCGATTGATTTCTGTGTTGTGTGGCGCCGTCGCCTACAGTCAACCCGCATAGTAAGGATGGGCAATCTTCCCAAGGGTACCCTTGCATACTTGCCTCCTCGGCCCATCCTTGGCCGCTTTCGTTGGCCGCGCCCCGCTCGAAAAGCTTCGAATTGGGCGCCCAAGGCCCTTGAACCCTTCTAGCGCATCCTTACTATACGGGTTGACTGTACTGGTCAGTACCAGGTCTCTGACTGCAGTCCTTCCTTCGAGGCCTGCAGGTTTCGGAGTTGTTGGCGGCGCCGTCGCCCCTCAACTCAAGTTCTTCGTTTTCCCTCGGGGTGGAGTCGCCCGCCCCCCAGTGGAGCACGTGGATAGCTGGAGCCATTGATGGCAAAAAACGCTGCCCCCACCCTCGTCCTCGCCACTCCTCGTACGATGTTCCAACCGACTTTCGCCGTGATCGCCTGAAAGAATTTCGAGCACCAGAAAAAAGTACCGAACCTCAAGGGTTTTCACGTGTCCGGCCCTGGGAGGCACTCGTCCGACACTATTTCGACATTGTTTCGACACTTTTCTGGGTGCTCGGAATTATTGTAGCGGCCTTCGGCCAGTGCCGCCGATCCGGGTCGCTCGGGGTTATTCTCCAGACGCAGACATTATGGGCGCACACTCAAACGCACACACGCAGTCACACCACCCAACCCGCGCCGCAGACATGGGGGCCTGTCAGGGCGTCCTGGGGGGCTTCTCGGAGACTTTTGGGGGCCCTTTTGGGAGCTCTTAGGCGTCTGGGGGCGTTTTTGGGGGCATCTTAGGGGCCTGTCAGGGCGTCCTGGGGCGCTTCTTGGAGGCTTTGGGGGGCCCTCTTGGGAGCTCTTGGGGCCTCCGCTTTTTCTGCTTTTCGTCCCTCTTTGGGGTCTTCTTGGGGACGCTTGGGGGGGCTCTTGGGCCGTCACCCCGCATCCGCCGGAAACTCGCCCCCGCCCCCCCCCATCCCCCCTTCCCCGGCAGAGCCACCCCGGCAACCCCCCCAGAGGCTGAGGCTCAGCCTCGAGGCTGTAGCTGAGACTCCTTGAAACTCACACGCCGGATCGGCGGATTTCTGGGATGTGGTCCTTAAGTACGATGGGAGCAACATAACACTCCTCCCCCTTCCTCCATCCCCCTTGGGCAGCAAGCTCACTTCAGTGGCTCCGGTTCATCCTGCGGTTCATGATGACCGTGCCCCCGGAGAAGTACGCAACCGTTATTCGCCTGGAGGAGCTCCAGCCTCACCTCCTCCCCCTCCTCCTCGGCAGGGTCCTTGTGTCGGGAGGCGCCGGGCGTCGGCTTAGGGACAACCGCGCAAAGGCCCATAAGATGCGAAGGAAAAGAGGACGACGACGACGACAAGGAGGACACGAGCACAGGGGGGAACGAACGACGAGGCGGCAAGGGGAAGGAGTGGAGCACAAGTGTCAGCGCGCCGGCTTGCGGGCCCGTGCGCCGGCATATCCCTGATGCCGACAGGATCGGATCCACCGCGCGTCGTCTTCGTCGGTGCTCGGTGTGGACTGCGATGGGGTCTGAGCCCGACGCCACCGTTTCCCCCCCCCTCAGAGGAGGAAAAGGTACCCACCCATACAGCTATCCTTCGCCAGATTTCCCCTTTTTGGGCCTCCTGGGAATCCCTCGTCGCCAACGCTGGATTCGGCTCGAAATCCTCGTTAGAACGCGCCCCTGGAGAGGTCCAGAGATTAGCGGTATCGGTACCTTTTGGTGGTTTTCCCACGAACCCCCCGCAGCCGGTCGAGGACGAGGTCGACGAGGACAAGGTCTAGAGTCTAGGACGAGGAGGAGGGCGACGAGGGAGAGGAGGAGGAGGATGAGGAGGTGGCAGAGGAGGACGACGGCGAGGCGACGGAGGCCGAAGCTGAGGCGGTGCCTGAGCAGGAGGAGACGACGAGGACGAGAATGACGACGAGGACGACGAGGGCGAGAGGCAGGAGGGGCAGGGGGGGGAGCCCGCGGACGGAGATGAGGAGGGGTGGTCGAGAGGGAGTTCTGAAGGGAGCAGGATCGACCACGTGCAGTGGGGGGTATGGAGAGGGGGGAAGGCTTCTCAGAAGCACCCCTGCTTCTTAGAAGGCGCGGGCCCAGTCTGTAGATGTAGGGCCGGCGTCTTCTAAGAAGCAGCCTCCTGAGAAGCCTTCCTCACTCCCCCTACCCCCCTTGTGTGCGCTGCCAACAGGAGGAGGAAGATGGAAAAGGAGATCATGGGGGGTGGAAACGACGACTTGGACCTAGAGGCCGAGGAGGACGGAGGGGAGGGTGCGGAGGACGAGCGGGGGGCGAGGTGGACAGAGGGGAGCGGGAGAAGGATGGCGACGACGAGGAGGCCGGGGAGCAGCAGCAGGAGCAGGAGACGAAGGAGGGAGCACTGGAGGCAAGTCGGGGAAGGGGGTGTGGTGGGGCGAGCATCGTGGGCAGCAGCGCAGGCAGGAGCGAGAGGACGAGGAGCGGCGCGTGTGCGTGCCCTGCGCTCTGCCCAGGAAACAGGGAGAAGCAGAAGGAAAGGAGGAGGAGGAGGAGCAGGAGGAGGAGGAGCAGGAGGAGGAGGAAAGGAGGAGGAGCAGGAGGAGTAGAAGCAGAGGGAGAGGAGGAGGAGGAGGAGGAGGAGCAGGAGGAGGAGGGTTCAGCGCCGCCGACATCGACCTGCTCTCCCTCGGGACCCGCCCGATGTGTGGGCGAGTCTCCGGCGCGTGGTCGGAGGGCGGAACGGAGAGCCCCCCGCCGGGAAATCGGTGTCGGTTTCGTGTTCGCGTCGTGCGTGCGGGCGAGGCGAAGCTGCGTGGGCGCGCGAGAGTAGTGATGCCGCCGTGGCTTAGGGGCTGTGGAGCCCGTTGTCCGCCCCTCCCCCTCGGGCGCGCGGTGGTCGGAGGTCTCCCGTCGGTGGCGCGGGGGTGCCCCGTCGGTGGCGCGGGGTGCCCCGTCGGTGGCGCGGGGTGTCCCGACGGTGGCTCCAGGTGTCCCGCCAGGGCGTTGCGATGGTAGCTCGCGAGATGAATTGCGACATCGATGGCGTGGTCGATTTCGCTAGTAAGGTCTTGGCATCGCTCGGACGTGTGCATTTTTCTTCCTTCGGCGAGGACCATCGAGGAGCCTCCTTGATCATTTGGCGAAGAAAACACGCACGAGACCGAAAAAAACACAGGGAATGGACGTCCGAGCGATGCCCAGAGGTCGATCGTGGAGATCGATCGAGAGATCGATAGTGCGATCGATCCGCAAGTCCTGTCGCTGGGGTTGCTCCGCCGTGGCTGGGGGTGCCCCATCATGCTGTCCCGATGGTGTTTCGTGATGTCACCTCGTGAGGTCGATCATGAGACCTCGATTGAGATCGAAATGGCAATCGGCAGTGAAGTCGATAGTGATATGGATGGTGCGGTAGATATCGAGAGCGATAGTGAGATCGTACTGAACGTCATTCGTTGTGAGATCGCGAGTGGGATCTGTGAAAATAAGATCGAGCATGAGAATTTGTGAGACCGATAATCCGATCGATAATGAGATCGACTGTGAGATCGATATTGACATCGATAGTGAGGTCGATAGTGAAATCGGTAGTGAGATGAATCGATTGGAGTCGAATGTGAGGTCGCATTTGCGTGGTGTGAGCTCCATCGCGGCTGTGTCGCCTTTGTTACAGTCACCATTATTCACTCTCTGTGTGAGCGTCATCGTGCAATGTTGCCATCTCATCGTCATCACAGTCATCGCACTTGTTGTCAGTGGGTTTTCGTTCCTTCCCCCGACCTCCTTATCACCCGAAGGGTGGTCGTATAGGCAGTTATGTCGTAATGGCCTTTTGCCAGTGCCGCCGATCCGGGGCGTCCTGCATGCGTGGGAGACTGGGAGATGACGCCGATAATGGCCGGCCAACGATGCGAGACAAAGGATCGATGATTGGCAACGGTTTTCGAGAGCGAACGACGACGGCGGCGGCGTCGCGGCTCCCCCAGCGGACAGGGTCTTTTCGGAAAGCGCTGCACGGCCCCGCCCCCCTTCTCAAAGCGACCCCACCCCCTCCAAGAGCGGAAAGGGTCCGCCCCAGGAAGCGTTGCACGCTCTTCCCCTTTGCCCTCCCAGAGTATCCCCCCCTCCCGCCCCCCTGAGCAAGCGCTGCACGCTCCTCCCCCCCCGTCCCAGAGCGAGCCCCCTCCACTCCCAGAGCGGACAGGGTCCCCCCGGAAAGCGCTGCACGCTCCCCCCCCTCCCCCCTCTTCCCAGAGCGGACCCCCCCCCCCCCTTCCAGAGCGGACAGGGTCCCTCTCGAAAAGCGCTTCACGCCCCCACGCCCCCCCCCCTGTCCCAGAGCGCCCCTCCTCCCCCTTTCCCAGAGCGGACAGGGTCCCCCCGGAAAGCGCTGCACGCCCCCCCTGTCCCAGAGCGGACCGCAGGGTCCCCCCGCAGAAAGCGCTGCACAAACACACACACACACACATACACACACATACACACACACATACACACACATACACACATACACACATACACACACACACACACACACCCTTCCCAGAGCGCTCCCCCCACTCCTTCCCCCAGAGCGGACAAGGCCCCCCCGGAAAGCGCGGCACGAGCGCTGCACGCCCCCCCCAATCGAGAGTTCGCCCTTTGCCCTCCCAGAGCGGACAGGGTCCCCCCGGAAGGCGCTGCACGATAGCTGCACGGCCTCCCCCCCTTCAGGGGCGGAGCCTCAGCGAAGCTCAAGCCCACGCCCTCTCAAAAATTCACGCGCCGAAGCGGCGGATCATGGTGAAAAGGCCCTGCGGCTGGCGCCGTCGATCCTGAAGGGGGAGCCCGAGGCGTCTGGGAGGCAAGGGATCGAAGGTCGGGAGCCTTGAGACGGGGGTCATTGCGAACGGGGGTCAGCCAGAGCGCCCGATCTTGCAAAATCCTGCAGGCCCAGGGTCGCATTGACCCGGGCTTTGGCACAGGATCCTGCAGGAATTTGGGTTTGGGCGCAGGATCTTGCTTGCAGGATTCTGGAAGGCCTGACTGACCCGGTCTGGAGTGACCCGGGTCAGAAGATCTTCGAGAAATGGAAATCTTCTCCCAGGGAGGGGTGCTCTCCTACGGTCGGGGGGCCACAACCCAAGGACCCCGCCCACACCCTGACGGGGAAGGGGTCGAAAGGAAGGGGCTTCCTTTCGACTCGATTGCGACGTTGCTCGATTTCTCTTCGACTGGGGCGTTTGACGAGGGGGGAGCGGTGACGACGACGACGACGAAGACGACGACGACGACGACAATGACTCAAACGGAAGAGCCTCACACACGCCGACAGGGTCGGCAGATTTTCCAGAGTGGATTGTGCATGTTTCCAGATGAGTCTCCGGAGGAGGTGGCGATATGCGAATATTCGAGGAGGAGCAGGATGAGGGCAACGACAACGACGGCGGGAACGTGGACCATGACGGGACGAGGATAAGGATGAGGATGAGGAAGACGAGGATAATAATGTTGCAAGGTTTGCTGCCAGTGTTGTGGCCTCCGCGCGGCGTCCCCCGAATCATCCCCCTTTGCGTCCTCGCGCCCATCCCCGTCGCGCCCCCGTATCATCCCTGCGCCCATCCTCTCGTCTCGACAGGTATCTCACGATGCACCCCACGATGCACGGACAGTCACAGGGACGCCGATGATGGCGGTTGTGAAGATAATCTGGGGACGCTCTAGATAGCTAGCAGACCTCTAGACAACACAGGGCAGCGAACCAAACAATAATAATGGTGATGGTGGGGAGGAGGAGGAGGAGAAGGAGGAGGAGGACGACGACGACGCCGACGCGGGGTGAGCAGGCGAAGGAGGGGTGGCAGAATGAGGAGGAGGATCGCAGAAGGAGGATAAGGACGGGGGGGTGCGATTTTTCGGAGGGGAGGGGGGGGGCTCTCCCTCGGTCGCGTCGATGATTGAAACGTGTGCGCAGATGTGCGACTGAGCAAACGTATGGTTCCATGTGTAGTGAGCCAGCGGTTTCTGTTCGGGCGCGTCTTTTGCCGCAGCAATGGGCTGGACAGGCCGCGACCCTAGGCGCGGAGCGGTGGCAGCCAGCTTTGGCAACCGCGCCGCCTTGTTGCCCCCCTTCGGGGGCAACGCTTGGAGCGAATAGGCGTCGCCGTTTCGAAGCCGATGCTCCCCACTGAACCAGTTCCCCCCCTTATGTAGTTCCGGCATGCTTGGGATGTCCGATGTCCCCCGGTTTGGCCGCACACTTGCGACGGCAGTCAGGCGTTGGCGTTATCTTCCTTTTTGCCGCTTCCTCTTTGTACGCGTTGTCCACATCGACGCTGGAAAGAAAGCGATATGTCAATCGCGCGGTTGCAAGTTGTAATGCCGCATGGTACGTGTCTCAGTTGATTGCGCAATCAAGAATGACACAATTGGTTCTGGCACTGTTTCCACGTTGCACTACACCACGACCTCAGCAGCCAGTTACCGCTACTACCTATACGACGGTTGTTCCACTAATGTTGGCACCACATATAGCACGATTGCTCTAACTAACGCGAATGCCACTGTGAGCAGTACAGCGAAACCATTTACTAGAACTGCAGTATTATTCCTACTACATATGCTGTCCCTACCTGCCTTCGTTTTATTCCCCAACAATCATGGTCCTCGTCCGCTGCACCACTTATAGTTCATTTCTGCCTCATCGTGTCCGCCCTGTCCTACGCCTCCCCCATGTCTCATCATTCGCCCAGGAGATGAATGAGTTTGCCCCGGGCAGTGACGGTTGCACACACAAGCGTCCTGAGTGGACGACATGCTACGATCTGGGCAAGGCCAGCGTTTGTTTTGTTACAGGGATCATGGAGGGGAGCGACGCACCGGAGGAGGACCCAGGATAGGGGGCAAGGAGGTGAGATAGGAGCGAAAAGAAGACCAGGAGGTCAAGGAAAGGAGGAGAAAAGGATACGAGGAAAGCGAAGGAAGGGGAGTGGAGGGGAAGGGAGGGGAGGGAGGCGGACGATGAGGAGAGAGGATGGAGGAGGCAGGAGGAAAGACGGCGGAAAGTCCAAGCGGTGGGGTGTCAGGAGGTTGGCGGTTTGGAAGAGGAGTATGCTCCCCTCCGGCTCCCTACCTCCTCCCCCCAGCATTTTGTTGCCACATTCGCATTCCCACCTCCCCATGCTCACTCTTCATCCCCCTCCTCCTCTTCACCCGGTCGACTGCGTGGGGGCGCGATTGTCCGCGGAGATGTGCCTTTGTGGTGAGGGGCCAACCACCCAAATCGCTCGAGAACGAAGTCACGTTTCCCTCACCATCGTCCGCATCCACCTTTTGACAACCTTGATTGGGCGCGCACACGCGCACAAATAAACAAATAAACGAACAAACAAACCATCTCCCTGGAGACTGATCGCCGAGGGCATGTTCAGGTGGCCCCTCTCCCCCGCCCCACCTGGCCGACGCAAGGTGGACGGCCGGCAGAATTGGCTCTCCCATGGAGGCGGTGGCGACGAGGAAGGGGGGGAGGAGGAGAGGAGGAGGAGGAGGAGGAGGAGGAGGAGGAGGACGGAGAGGAAGAGGAGGAAGAGGAGGAGGAGGAGGAGGAGGAGGAGAGGGAGATCGCGAGCAGCCGAGAGCGGCCGGCTGCCCAGGCCGCCTCCCTTTTCACCCGCTCTTCCCCCTTCCCATTCCGCACCTTCGTCCCGCCCCTCCGCGCCATGGAATGGCAGCTCGTCCGGCCCCCCGGCCGACGGGGCCGCCAGGCCAACCCGCAGCTGGCGGCGGACCTTCTGCGCAGCCTCCTCGGCACTGGGGGCGCGCAGCGCGGCGACGGGCAGCCGCCGCAGGCGCGCCGCCCGGAATGGCGCTGCACTTGCGAGGCTGCCAACTTCGAGAACCGGCAGGCCGGCCAGCGATGCCCCGCGGCGCGCGTCGGAGCGCCAGTGGCCTGCCCGCCGCCGCCGCCAGCGCAGAGAGGCGGCGCCGCCGCCGCCTGGCTGGCCCTGCCGGGCGGCCGCGGCCCCCGGCCAGCACGTCAGCCTTCAGCATCAAGCTCGATTTTGGAATCGAAGGCCATGCCTCCTGAGAGTCCTCCTTCACCGTCATCGGAGCCAGCATCGCCATCGCCAGCAGCGCCAGCGGGACCAGGCTCAGGGGCCCGAGCGCCCGCTGCAGCCTTGTCCTCCTGCTCCCGAAGCTTGGCCGCAGTGGCCTGGGGGACCCCTGCCATGTCCGCGCCGAAGTGCGAGCCCGCTGCCTGCAGCATCTTGCCGAAATTCTCCAGCAGCTCGATCCCTCTGGCGACGTCGTGACCGATGGAGTCTTGACTAGGGGCGACCGACTTCGCCTGTTTGGCGACGATGGCGGACTTGGTCTTCTTGAGGTGATCTTCGTGCGCTGCGAGCTGAGAACGGAGGTCGTCGGCTGACTTCTTGGCTGCCTCGGGGGCGGCCTCTGCCCCATCGACTCAGGCCATGCATGAATCGATATGCTTCCGCTTGCGCGCCCCTCGGCCGAGGAAGCCCTGGAGGGACTTCGAGCCGAGATCAGCAGGTTGCTCTCACACCTGAGGGGTTTCAGCGAACGCCGGCACCTCGTCCGTGGACTTTCCCGTTCCCGCACTCGCGACAATCTGTGCGCCACAGGAAGCCGCCATACCGACAGCGGGAATCACTGCAGACCCAGGTCTGGCACCGCTTTCCTCTCACACCGCCGCGGGCTCCTCCTGACATGGGCGAGTTCGTATGAAAGTTTGGTTCGGACCAGCTGCGCAACTTCCATGTGCGCTGGTCGAAAGGGTGCAAAAAAATCGAAACCTTGAAATGTCTAGGAAAAGGAGGCTGAGGAGGAAGAGGAGGAGGAGGCGGAAGTCGGCGTCATAACGCCGGATGGATGGGGTAAGAACGGCCCCCGATCCCGCCCAGAACAGTCGGCGTCAAGACTCGACCCGCGCCTTGGCGACCCAGGGAGGAAGGTCATCGCCACGCCGCCGCTCGGACTTGGTCGGAAAAAAAGACGAAGAACAAAACAAAAAAAAAAACGAAGAAGATAGGAAGGAGAGGAAGAAAAAAAAAAAAAAAAAAAAAAAAAAAAAAAAAAAAAAAAAAAAAAAAAAAAAAAAAAAAAAAAAAAAAAAAAAAAAAAAAAAAAACGTCCCGAGTGGCCTGCGTTACGGCGCTAAGCCTCCGCGATCCTTTTTTGGTAAAGGGATCAAATTACGGGAGGCGCCATAGCGCCGCTTGGACGTGAGAGAAACTTTCACGATCCAGCCCGGCGCAGCGCGCGTTACGGCGCACTCTGATGAGCTTCTGTGACCCCCCAGGGCGAAGGAGGGGGCAGGTCGGCGCCATAACGCCGTTCAGATCTGGACGAGCGGGCATCCCATTCCCCCCGAAATGACCGGCGTTATGACGCCCTCTAGGCATACGCGACCCACTTGGGAGGGGAGTGGAGGGATGTTTGCAGCATGACGTTGGCTTGGACGGTTCACGCGGGGGGGGGGGGGGGGGGGCGACGCTGGTGGCGCGGCAAGCGGCAAGTAGTTGTTGCTTCTGTTTGCGACATGCGGTCGACGGCAAGGAACATTGAGGCTTGCGGCGCGCGGTTATGTTTTTCCCCAAACGGTAATTATAAAGATCGCGTTCTGAAGAAGCCACAGCGACAAGGGCGTCACCTGCACGCGGGAAAAAGTATTTTTCTGTTGCGCCGGAATTGTTTCAGTTTTCGGTCAGGCGGCTTTTTTTTTCGCGAAACCATGGTTTCGCACAGGCCCCCTGGCAATTGTACCGAAGTCCTGCCAGAATAGCACGATCGAAATGGGTACGGGAAGGGAAGAACGTTGATCGGGCCAGGGGCACATTGCGGTGCAGTTCAAGGGTTTCGGGTGTTCTCTCGCCGGTTCCCGGCGGCGCGAAAGCTGCGCCGAGGGCGGGGCACGGGGCCTCGTCGATTGTCCCGGGGGGCCGCTGGGGATCCGGGGTTTGGCCCGGAAGCCACGGGTCAGCGACGCGGGGGGAGATGGGCTGATGTCGAAGGAGAAAAATCACCATAAACATAAATTTGTGGCGCTCCGCGCGGATTCCTTGGATCTGCTCTAGAACCCCTCTCCCCGGCTAGGCTCAGGGGAATATGCATCGACACCGAATCGCCCATCGCCGGTAGGGCTCCGAAAGCCCCTCCCGCCCAGGAACATTGCCCGGTTCAGGGGCACTGGATCGGTACAATCGATGGATGCGGAAAGGATGAACGCGAAGATCGGCAGCAGTTCCTGTCGCTTTTGAGCAGGACTCGTTGTCGGCGTCGGCGCGGATGTCGTCCACGTGAGGCAAAAGGGTCGCCTGCCCAGCAGCGGCAGGTGCCGGTGTTGGTCGACATTTGTTGTTGGGCCTAGTGCGTGTTTTTTCCGTGCCTTATTGATGGCGTGCCAGTTGCACAGCCCATTTTGAATGTCGATCCGTTCGATCCGATTCGAAATCGATCGGGGCCAGCTTAGCCGGCGTCGGTTCCGATCCCTCGACAATCCCACGCGTATCCCGATGCTTGCATGGCGTTCCTATGCATCTTGGCGCGGCCGACAGGATTCGATGTATGCCGGATCCGATTCGATCCGATTTTTCGATTCGGAGTTGACCGCTCTTGCCATGACCCTTGAGGGCGGCTGAGGGTTTGCCTGGTTCGCCGCGTCGCCCCATTGCATTTTCCAATTGATTCCTCTCGCTTCGCGGGGTGCACGTCCGGAGCACGTACAGTCCAGCCGTTGTGGGGCTTTTTGGAAGCCTCCTGGGGGATTCTCGCGGTGGAGCAGCCTGACCCCGCGTGACCAGGCGCCCCACCGCGGTACGCCCAGCCAGCCGCCTGCGTAGCCGCGCGGAGCCTTATCGCTAGAGCCCCGCTGCGTGCGAATCATTCCCGCTGCCCGAGCCCTGTCGCGTTGCGCAAAGTCGCCACCAGCAGCGGAGCGCTGAGCCTGCCCGACGGCACACAGGGCAAACATGTTTGTCCCATTCAGGCGCAGAGACTGCGAGGTCGCTGATGCCGCGTGGATCTCCTGAAAAACAGATGTTGGCTTGAATGGCATGCCGTCTCCTGTAGTCCTCTGCGGTGGCGTTTCCTGTCGTCTTCTGCGGTGGTCTGCCGCGCCGTCCTGCAATCGTCGAGGCATCCATATGGAAACGTCCTGGAGTGGTGAGTTGGGAGCTCCTTGGGTCCCTTTCAGGGACTTCTGCCGGCTTTTGGAAGGCTTCTCGGGCGCATTTGAGAACCCCTGAAAGCCTCTTGGGTTTTTTTTGGGGGGCGTCTTGGGCCGTTTTGGGGCGCTATTTCGGAATCTTTTGGGGGGGTCATGGAGGCTTCTTCGGGGCTTCCCGGGTCTTTCGGGGGGCCTCTTGGGGGCGTCTTGGGCCGTCTGCGGACGCTTGGAGCCGTTTGGCCCCTTCGGGGGACTTCTTGGGGGCCGCTCGCGGCCGCCTTGGGGCCCTCTTGGGGTCGTCTTGGGCCATCTTGGGGTGCTCTTGGGCCGTCTTGGAGGCCTCTTGGATCGTCTTGGGGGCCTCTTTGGGCCGTCTTGGGGCCCCCTTGGGTGCTGCTTGGGCTGTCTTGGGGCCATTTTGGAGGCTGCTAGGGCCGTCATGGGCCTCTGAGAGCCGGGAAAGGCGAGAAAGCGAAATTCTTTGAAAAAACTTGAGGGAAATCGATGTATTTGGCCTCTGGCGGCGTTCTGGTGGGCGCTCTGAGGGCCCTCTTGGGCAATCTTTGGGGCTTTGTGGGCCCTATTGGGGCCATCTTGGGCCGTCTTGGGGCCGTCTTGTCCCGTCTTGACACCATCTTGAACCGTCTTCACGCCCTCTTGGATCCCCAAAAGGCTCAAGGTGCCCAAATCATCGGTTTTCCATATGTTTTTCTAGATTTTGAGGCCCAGAAGGGGCACTCCTCCTGAGGGTCGATGGAAGTGGCGCGACTCCAGGGGGGGGTAGGGGGGGACACATAATAATGTAACATGATACAACATGTAGGAATTATGCAAGCATTGGACACATTGGATCCATTGCATTACAGCATCCGCGGACCTGCCTCCGGCAACACGTCACTTCCGGACGTGGGTTCTACTGGCTTACGCCACATCCGCCGACCCCTTCTGCGAGTGTTGCGAGGCCAGGAGTTTCTGGCCAGCGGCGTCTTGTATGAGGGTGTTGTGTCGCGCGCGTGCGGTGGCAGATACGTAAGGGGTCAAAATGTTTGCGTGATGCCGGTGGTCTGGGGCGTGTTTTGCGAACGCCTTGCGCGCTGTGCACCCGGGCGTGGGGTGTCCTTTTGGGAGGTCGGCCTTTTCGAAAGGAGCAAGAGTAGCGTGCGGAAGCTGTGATCAGCGAGGCATCGCCGCGAAAAATGTGGCAGATGAGTCGAAACGGGTGAAGAGGCCGTTGACGTTCGCAGCGCGCACGAAACAGTTCGCGCGGCAGCAACACATTATCGCCGAGCATGATAGCGAGCACGTCGCGAAGAAGAGCAAGGCTGCACGCGCGGAGTGCATTGCAGTTGGCTTGGCGGCTCGCAATACGGAAGCGTCTGGGGGTCTTTGGGGGGCCTCCTGGGTTTTTGAATGTTTCGTTGCCCTCTTGGGCCCCTCTTGGTGCCGTCTTGGAGCCTTATTGGGCCGTCTTGGGGACCTCTTGGGCCGTCTTGGGGCCATCTTGGGCCGTCGTGGGGCCGTTTTGGGGGCCTCCTGGGCCGTCTTGGGGAGGTCTTCGGGGCCTCTTGGGCCGTCTTGGAGCGTCGGAAAGCCCACGAGGCGAATTTGTGGAACATATATGGCTTACGAAGGAAATGCGCATTTTTTGCGTCTAGGGACCCTCTTGGGACGCATCTTGGAGGCCCCTTGGGGGCGTCTTGGGCCAGCTGGAGGCCATCCCGGGTGTCCTCGATCGTTCTTGGACCGTGTGGGACCATGTTGGGCTCTCTTGGAGGCCACTTGGAGCGCTCCTGGAGCGCTCTTGGGGCCGTCTTCGGGGCTCTCTTGGGCCGTCTTCGGCGCCTCTTGATCCGTCTTGGCGCCCTCTTGGGCTGCCTTGGGGCCCTCTTGGAGGCGTCTTGGGCCGTTTTGGTGCGGTTTGGGGGGCCTCTTGGGCCGTCTGGGAGCGTCGGAAAGCCCAAAAGGCGAATGTGTGAAACATATACGTTTTTACGAAGAGAACGGGCCAACTGTTTGCGTCTAGAGGCCCTTTTGGGGCGCATTTTGGATGCCTCTTGGGGCCTCTTGGGGGCATCTTGGGCCGTCTGGGGGCCATCTTCTGTGTTTTTGATCGCTTCCGGACCGTCTGGGACCATATTGAGCTCTCTTGGAGGCCACTTGGAACGCTTCTGGAGCGCTCTTGGGGCCATCTTCGGCGCCCTCTTGGGCCGTCTTGGACGCCTGTTGGGCCGTCTTGTTGGGGCCCTCTTAGGCTATCTTGGGACCCTCTTGGAAGCATATTGGGCCGTCTTGGGGCGGTCTTGGGGGCCTCTTGGGCCGTCTGGGAGCATCGGAAAGCTCAGAAGGCGAATTCGTGAAAAACGTACGTTTTACGAAGAGAATGGGCAAATGTTTGCGTCTAGGGACCCTCTTGGGACTCACCTTGGGGGTCTCTTGGGGCCTCTTGGGGCCTCGTGGGGACCTCTTGGGCCGTCTAGGAGGCCTCTTGGCTCGTCTTGGGGCCATCTTGGGCGTCTTGGAGCGCTCCTTTGACGTGTCGGGGCCCTCGTGGGCCGTCTTGGAAGCGTCTTGGGGCCTTCTTGGCTCGGTTTGAGCCCCTTTCGGGCCCCAAAAAAGCCCCGTGACGCGCTCGTCGTCGGCGAGCCGAGGGGGGGTCAAATCTCTGGTTGGGGTCCCTGGGGAGGGGAATATGGGGGGGGAAACTATCTCACACGCCTAGAGACCCACAAGGGGTCGGCGGATTCCCCATCCTCACTCTCCTCCCTCGTCCTCCGTCAACCCCGTTTGTCCTCTTCGACGTCGACGTCGACCTTGTTTCGTCCCTCGTCCTCGTCGCACTCACTCATCCTCAACGGCTTTCTTTCGTGTGGCAGGTTTGCCGCTGCTCCCGCGCGCTCAAGCCGGCGACCTTCCACCTGAAGGGCGATTGGCGAAAGGAGGTTCGTCTTCTTTGAGATTTTCCACGGCGAAAAGAAGAGGGGATAAGCAGGAAAAGGAAGAGGAGGAAAAGGAGGAGCGCGAGGGAAAGGAGGAGGAGGAGGAGGAGCGATGGAAGAAACGGAATGGGGAACGAGTGTGAGCGCAAGGAGAAAGAAAATGTGAAGGAGAAGAACAAGGAGGAGCAGGAGGAGAAGTTGGATGAGGGGTAATAGCGGGACAGTTCTTGATAACCATGCGGCAGCCTCTTTCGTGGCACAGTGATCCGTCTTTCAGTTCCAGCTCCCCTTAACTTCGCAAGATTGCCCTCATCCTCGTCATGAATCACATCCTGTTGCTTCTCCTAGGTCCACTGCCAACTGAAGGCCCAGGGATCACGACAAGGTAGGCGAGAGAGGAGGAGGAGGAGGAGGAGGAGGAGGAGGAGAGGGAAAGAGAAGGAGGAGGAGGAACCTCGGTCCTGATTGGTTATTCGCTCACTACGCAACTCTCTCTCCCTCGGCGCGTATACCAGGATCGGGGAAACGTAAGACTCGAGTACGCCGGAACTCGGGTTTGCCGACGCGTCTTGTCGAGGGCGTCCTGGATTTTGACGGTCCAGGTTTCATGGGATGTTTGCAGCGGGAGTTCGCGTCAAATTTGAGATTGGGTCTCGTCATTTTCATGATGGTCCCGTCAGGCCACCCGAGTCCCCCGAACCCGAGTCTTACAGTCAACCCGCACAAGAAAGTCCCAGGGGAGTCCTTGCATCCTTGCCCCATTCGCCCATCCTTGGCCACTTTCGCTGTCCGCGCCCCGCTCGAAAGGTTCGAAGCGGCCTTCCAAGGCCCTTGCATCCTGATCGTGCGTCCTTGTAATACGGGTTGACTGTACGACAAGAGGGGCTTGGTTGCAGGGGCGCCGGATCCTTCGGCGGGCGCTTCTTGCGCCCCCCTTGGGGGCAGAGTGATGGGCCCCTGGCGGATGGACGTCTCGGGAGGACCTCCGCTTGGGGCTCCCTCTTGGAGAGCCCGGGAGAGCCAAGAGAGGAGGAGGAGGAGGAGTTATCAGGGGGAGGGGGATGTAGGAGGGAGGACGAGCGAGGAGGAGGACGAACCAGGAGGAAGAGTTAGGAGGAGTTAGGAGGAGGAGTTAGGAGGAGGAGGAGGATGTAGAATGGAGGATGGGCGAGGGGGAAGAGTTAGGACGAGGAGGCCAGGAGCAGCGAGAGGGCGCACGAGCAGGAGACGAGGAGGACGAGGAGGAACCTCGATCCAGGCAAGGAGCAGAGGAAGAGGGAGGGGGCGCGCGCTCGCCAGCTGGACGTCATCATCGGCGCAGGGCTCTGACGCGAGCCCGGCTCGCGCGCGCCTGCTCTTGGTGTGCGGCTTGCGGAGCGGCGCGGGGGGGGGCGCTCTCCCTGGCGGGCAAGCCGTGCACCAATTGCCACGCTTGCCCAGGATCGCTTGCGTGTGCAGCCGAAAGGGGGGGTCACCTTCTGTTTGCCTTCCCGGGCACCTGGGCCTTTCAGAGACCAAACCATCCTGGGACGGCACTTCGAAATATCCTGGATCGTTCTGCTTCAGGACCCCCTCATGGCATGGGAAGGGTTCCCCTCACATGAAGGTAAGCAGTTCAGCCCGCCAAAGACTAAACGGCATGTGCAAGGACACAGCACGATTTGGCACAATTTGCACATCAGGTTGCGCCGTCGATTGTGCCACAGTTTAGGCCCGAGGTTGTACAAGGCACCTTGAACCAAGGCAGCGGTGGGCGGGCGGTTACCCGGAATGCTGGTTTCGTTCAGAGGTTTCGGTTTCGTTCAGAGGTTTCGGCAGCTAGGACTCGGTTTCGTTCAGAGGTTCTATTATGCGGAACTCCTCCCCGCATTGACTGTCGGGTTTTTCTTTAGGGATGTTTCGTTTTGTTTCGATGTGTTTGTACGCGGCCCCTCACATCGGAACCAACAAACCGAACGTCCAACAATACATCCCGCCACGCCCCATGCGCAACGCGAAGGTGTCAGGGCACCGCTCGCATTCCTACGCGGGGAGCCCGGCAAATAGCATTGTGATGCCAATAGTGGGCGGACGATGAATAAAGGGAAATTGAGGTAACAAATGATGTGACAAAAGCCAAGCCGCTATAATATTGAAAATTCTTCACGCTTCGCGTATCCCCACCAGCCCATCTCAAAACAGCAACTCTAGCGCAGCATGCCGACAGTCGTGTTTTTCAGGCGTGTTTCCGCCTGCCCCCGCATATCTCCCCTGTTCCTCCTTCCTCCCGCCTCATCCTCCTTGTGGTGGGAGCGGGAGAAGGACGAGGCGGAGGAGGAGGGAGAGAAAGTTCTCGTCCTGGTGTGAGTCGTTCGGGCCCTTCTTCCTGGTGTGAGTCGTTCGGGCTCTTCGTGGTGTGAGTCGTTCGGGCTCTTCGTGGTGTGAGTCGTTCGGGTTCTTCGTCCTGGTGTGAGTCGTTCGGGCTTCTCGTGGTGTGAGTTGTTCGGGCCCCTCGTCCTGGTGTGAGTCGTTCGGGCCCCTCCTCCTGCCCGTCCAGAAACGACGCCCAGGCGAGTAGAGGGTCGTCCTGATGGGCTTTTCGGCGTCTTGGGTGCCTCGGGGGGGTCTCTTTGGGCCGTTTGGGATCCTCTTGGGGGCCTCCTGGGGGCCTCTTGTGGCCATCTTGGGGCCTCTTGGTGCCTCCTGGGCGCTTCTCGGGGCCATCTTGGAGGAAATCGATCAAAGCAGAGGGGAGCTTTAATCAGCGCTGCCTCCTCAGAAAGCCAAAATGGGGCCAAAACCTTAGTAAAATCAATGATTTGGGGCCAAAGCCGTAGTAAAATCAATGATTCTGGCTTCAAAGAAGAGGGGAGCACTTTTCTCCCCCCCTCCCGTCGGGGCCAGAATCCTCGTGAGGGGTGTTGTTTTTTAGCCCTCCCAGGAGTCGAAAAATACCCCTCCGGCCACCCGCGGAAGGACCTCTCCAGGCCCAAGGGGAGGGGGTAGGGGGAGGGGTAAACCCCTCCCGAAAGGGAAAGAAGGGGGGTCGAGAACAGAGAGAGCTCCCTAAACCACTCACGCCCAAAGGGCTGGTGGGATAACACGCCGATAATAAAAAAGAAAACTCGTTGCTGCAGCGGCGAAGATTATGTCATATGTTTTTTGTTGCATGGGGTTCGATAAACACTTAGAACACGCTAAAACATGCCACGCGCTCGTGTATTTCAATAACCTACAACCCCCGGAGACATCTATATCTAGATATAGCCAGTACCAATTCCGACCAGATCCACAATCGTTTCGGAAATGACATAACAATATTTGCTTGAGAACTGTAAAAAGATATTTCGCATCAGCGGAATTGCTCGGCATCACGGTAGTAGCGAAATTCGGGCTTTGCAACATAATAGAACTAATATCCGGACACGCAATGACATGCCCGCGAAAATCCGCAGCAATTCGTATAAATCTGGTTGCCGCTTCTCATCCGAATGTGCTCTGCGACCGTGGCGCAATGTATCGTACAAATTACTTTTTGGTTAACTACGAAAATTATATTCGGGGCCGAACCCTGTGTCGAAGATACGCGTGGTTTCCCTGGACGCTCGTTGGAGATTAGGAAAACCTCATTTTAAAGCACACATGGGCGTTTATATATATATATGTATATATGTAATAATAATAGTAGTAATAATAATAATAATAATAATAATATTTTTTTTTTTTTAAAAAAAAAAAAAAAAAAAAAAAAAAAAAAAAAAAAAAAAAAAAAAAAAAAAAAAAAAAAAAAAAAAAAACTGGCGAAGGACCCAACCATATGCAGTTGTGAGTATCGCAATTGTGAGTATCTTCTTCGGTGGCGCTCCCTATGGGGCCACGAACCGCATGAGGGGTGTGCCGAAATGTGGCGGGGTACACAACGCAAAGGAAAACGATAGATCTGATTACGAGAGAAAGAACGCGGGTGAGTCAGAGCGCGAGGGAATCTGAGTATGAATGGGTCTGCGCGCGAGTGAATATATTTGCATGAATGCGATCATGGAACCGCCTAGTGTAAGTGTCGAGCATGCCTGTCCGAACACACGTGACACTGGGCGTGGCCGCCGCAGGCAGCTTCCGCGGGAACCCCGACGGCAGCGTCCGCACGTCGCGACGCCCATGTCGGCACGCCTCTTGCGAGGATCGCGCCCGCTTTCGGCTCTTCTTGTCCTTCCTCTTTGCCCGCGCACTCGAAAATCCAAGGCTGCGGGCGCAGCGCAGCACGGAGTCCCCGCGACGCGCGTTGGTCGCCCCGGGCGGGGTCCCAGCGAAGCGCGGGTCGTCCGCTGCGCGAAGCAGAGAGAGCTGACTAGCTAACTGGCTGGCTGATAGCGGGCAAAACTCTGACCGCTGGGCAGAGCGACGACGGGCGAACGAGGCGCCGGGCCCCCCGCAGCACGGAGTTCCCGCGACGCGCGCTGGTCGCCCCGAGAGGGTCCCAGCGACGCGCGCGGGTCGTCCGCGGCGCGAGGCCAAACAATTAGTCGGGCAGTCGAGAGAAGGCGCGGCTCGGGGGAGACGCTCCTCAGGTCAGGCCTCGCGGATGAACTCGGTGAAGCCGAGCTCCCTGGCGAGGGCCGTCGCTTCCCTCCTGCACCGCTTCGTGCGCGCCGCAAACTGCTCCAGCTGCTCCCGCAAGCCCTGCGGCGGCCCTGCCAGGAAGAACTCGATGCGCGGCGCCCGCAGTCGTCATCCTCCTTCTTGCCGTTCCCTACCTCGTGGCGGCCGCAATCCAGGATCACGCCTGGGCGACGTCGACCGAGGGAACAGCGCGCCGGGCAGCCGACGGCCCAGGGCGAGAGTCCACAGGACCGAGAGATGGTCTGGCCGCGGACTGCTCGCGCCCCGGAGGTCTGGCCGCCCCCGGAGCGCCGTTCCCCCGCCCCGTCGCCTTCGCGCATGGTGCGCCCCTGGCACGCCACCGTGGTGATGACCCTGCCGTGCGAGAGATGCGGGAGGTGTGCCGAAATGGGCGGGGGTGACGCATGCGAGCGGCGGCACTGAGGCCTTCGGTGGAGCTCCCTATGGAGCCACGAAACGTGTGAGGGGTGTGCCGAAATGGGTGTGGGGGACGCATGCGGCCGCGGGCACTGGGGCCTTCGGTGGAGCTCCCTATGGAGCCACGAAACGTGTGAGGGGTGTGCCGAAATGGGTGTGGGGGACGCATGCGGCCGCGGGCACTGGGGCCTTCGGTGGAGCTCCCTATGGAGCCACGAAACGTGTGAGGGGTGTGCCGAAATGGGTGTGGGGGACGCATGCGGCCGCGGGCACTGGGGCCTTCGGTGGAGCTCCCTATGGAGCCACGAAACGTGTGAGGGGTGTGCCGAAATGGGTGTGGGGGACGCATGCGGCCGCGGGCACTGGGGCCTTCGGTGGAGCTCCCTATGGAGCCACGAAACGTGTGAGGGGTGTGCCGAAATGGGTGTGGGGGACGCATGCGGCCGCGGGCACTGGGGCCTTCGGTGGAGCTCCCTATGGAGCCACGAAACGTGTGAGGGGTGTGCCGAAATGGGTGTGGGGGACGCATGCGGCCGCGGGCACTGGGGCCTTCGGTGGAGCTCCCTATGGAGCCACGAAACGTGTGAGGGGTGTGCCGAAATGGGTGTGGGGGACGCATGCGGCCGCGGGCACTGGGGCCTTCGGTGGAGCTCCCTATGGAGCCACGAAACGTGTGAGGGGTGTGCCGAAATGGGTGTGGGGGACGCATGCGGCCGCGGGCACTGGGGCCTTCGGTGGAGCTCCCTATGGAGCCACGAAACGTGTGAGGGGTGTGCCGAAATGGGTGTGGGGGACGCATGCGGCCGCGGGCACTGGGGCCTTCGGTGGAGCTCCCGAAATATGGGGGACGCAGCGTGTGAGGGGTGTGCCGAAATGGGTGTGGGGGACGCAAACTGGGGCCTTCGTGTGAGGGGTGTGCCGAAATGGGTGTGGGGGACGCATGCGGCCGCGGGCACTGGGGCCTTCGGTGGAGCTCCCTATGGAGCCACGAAACGTGTGAGGGGTGTGCCGAAATGGGTGTGGGGACGCATGCGGGCACTGGGGCCTTCGGTGGAGCTCCCTATGGAGCCACGAAACGTGTGAGGGGTGTGCCGAAATGGGTGTGTGGGGACGCATGCGGCCGCGGGCACTGGGGCCTTCGGTGGAGCTCCCTATGGAGCCACGAAACGTGTGAGGGGTGTGCCGAAATGGGTGTGGGGGACGCATGCGGCCGCGGGCACTGGGGCCTTCGGTGGAGCTCCCTATGGAGCCACGAAACGTGTGAGGGGTGTGCCGAAATGGGTGGGGGGACGCATGCGGCCGCGGGCACTGGGGCCTTCGGTGGAGCTCCCTATGGAGCCACGAAACGTGTGAGGGGTGTGCGGAAATGGGCGTGCGGGGCGCATGCGGCCGCGGGCACTGGGGCCTTCGGTGGAGCTCCCTATGGAGCCACGAAACGTGTGAGGGGTGTGC